AACCTAAGGAATCGATTGAGTCTATCTAGAATCTCATCGGTTCAACCGTTATGGTCAAACAAGAAATCTGGCGTGTATTCAACTAGTGTCGCGGCGTTAGTATACACGGCCGTTTCGCGTTTGGCTTCGCGACACTACCGTGCCGCTTGATTAACTAACATAAACCCAAGGAATCGATTGAGTCTATCTAGAATCTCATCGGTTCAACCGTTATGGTCAAACAAGAAATCTGGTGTGTATTCAACTAGTGTCGCGGCGTTAGTATACACGGCCGTTTCGCGCTTGCACTTGGCTTCGCGACACTACCGTGTCGCTTGATATAGGGTGTCCGAAAAATCGCCCGAAATATTTCGGGACGTCATTCGAGACCTCAAAAGAAGGAAAAAAGCTATGTAAACATAGGTCCGGAAATATGTCGTTTCCGAGTTATACCCACTTTTATGTTAAAAAAATCATAATTTACAGTCCGCGTGGCACTCCTTTTTAAATTTTTTTTATTTTTTTAATTTTCATTTCTTATTTTTTTTATTTTCAAATTTTATTATTTTTTTTAATTAACAATTTTTATTTTTTAATTTTTTTTTCAATTTTTCGATATTTGTAAATACATTATTTTTTAAATTAATCATAAACATGAATAAGTATTTAAATCAAAATAGGTATTTAAATCGAATAAAATAAATGATTGATTTAAAAAATAATATATTTACAAATATCAAATAATTGAAAAAAAATTAAAAAATAAAAATTATTAATTAAAAAAAATAATAAAAAATTTGAGAATTAAAAAAATAAGAAATGGAAATTAAAAAATAAAAACTAAAAAAAAATTAAAAAGGGGTGCCCCGCGGACTATAAATTATGATTTTTTTAACATAAAAGTGAGTATAACTCGGAAACGACTTATTTCCGGACGTATGTTTATATAGCTTTTTTTCCTTCTTTTGAGGTCTCGAATCACGTCCCGAAATACGATCAGCGTTTAGAGAATTCGATACTGAAGAAGGTTCAAATTAATAACCAAAACGTTTACGAATATATCAATTACGAGAACTTTGTAATTTGATAACTTATGACATCGAAGCATATCGTCACTTCGGCTGCATACGTGTATGTAAAAGTGAAACAACGAAGCGGCAACACACACACATATACACACATACAAACATATATATGTATGTGTGTGTGTGTGTGTGTGTGTGTGTGTGTGTGTGTGTGTGTGTGTGTGTGTGTGTGTGTGTGTGTGTGTGTGTGTGTGTGTGTGTGTGTGTGTGTGTGTGTGTGTGTGTGTGTGTGTGTGTGTGTGTGTGTGTGTGTGTGTGTGTGTGTGTGTGTGTGTGTGTGTGTGTGTGTGTGTGTGTGTGTGTGTGTGTGTGTGTGTGTGTGTGTGTGTGTGTGTGTGTGTGTGTGTGTGTGTGTGTGTGTGTGTGTGTGTGTGTGTGTGTGTGTGTGTGTGTGTGTGTGTGTGTGTGTGTGTGTGTGTGTGTGTGTGTGTGTGTGTGTGTGTGTGTGTGTGTGTGTGTGTGTGTGTGTGTGTGTGTGTGTGTGTGTGTGTGTGTGTGTGTGTGTGT